TTCTAACGCCATGAACAGCAACATCTAGCCTAACACGTTATAGGACTAGATGGACCCGAGGTTACGATAATTGTTGGATCCCCGCCCATTCGCGATGGACATCTCTTGAAGTGGAGAAACCAGTACAAGGTGTCTCTAACCTTCAGAGTTGCACCGCGAGCAGGAGAGGACTGTCGAAAGAAGCCTCACGGACGACTGCCTCGTGGAGCTCCCTCTAACATCTAAGGGAGAGGAGCCTGCTAGAAACTGCCCCGATGATGCTTCTAGTAGAGCAGGGGAGGAGCGCCTGGCGATGAGCCAGCGAGCGGGCCACCGAGTCAATGCTTGAATGCTCCCAGACCTAGAGCTGGGCAAGGTGCGGTGGAGCCCAATCTCCACGTTGCCGGGACGGACCACGAACCATGACGCCCGATGGAGACAGCCGCTCTCTCACTCGGATTAGACGTCGGGGAAAACTCAGAAGATAGGGAAGAAGTGGGGGATGAGGTGCACTGCCCTCTTCTCCCTCGACTTAAATAGATGGCATGAAGACAAAGGCGAAGAAGACAGCGGTTGACATTCAAGATGGGCGCAAACCCCAAGATGCACTCGTAATCAAGAGGCAGAAGACGCGGCAGTTCAGTCTCCCAGAAGACACAAGCCCTAGCAACGGTCATAGGAGGTACATCAAACGCACACGTACACTCTGCCATTTACCGACTACCTTCTTGTAGCGTAGGGGAAGCGAGGCGACCGGGCGAAAGATTGAGCAGTGGGCGCCAGCGTGGCAACATGTCCCGAGTAAGCCTCGAACCTCTCGCCTTCATTATCTCGCAAATTCGCTCACCTGCATTTTAGGGCTCACAACTGTACACGAGATGGCAGCGCCGGGACGCAACATGGCTAGGGGAGGCCAATAGCCCCCTAGGTTCACATGTCGAGCAGCCCTCCGCATCCATGAAACCATGTCGTGCTTAGGAAACTCTTTATTAGGTCGGTCCTTAGAAGGGCTCGAGGCCACAAAAGGGATAGGGGCAGGGAGGAGATGGGCCCCTGTGGCTCTAATCGGTGGTATGGTGCCACATGACCATCTCTCCCTGTGTCCGAGTCATCCGCTTTGAAGTCTCCTAGGTTGACCCCCTCTGGGGGGAGGCATCTTGCTCTCTGGTCGTTGCGGAGGCAGTTGGGGACCAACAGGATTGACGATCGATGATTTGTGGGACATCTCACGTGAGGCATAGCCAAACTCCATATCGATTGGGGAGGATATCAGGTCCTGCTCAGATTACCCATAGACCGCGACGAGGCACACCGCTCCAGCCACGTGGTTACGGTGGACATGCCTCTCCCTGCGTGGGGTGAAACCAAACCCGCATGCAACAAGGGAAAAATGGAGTCGGGTCCCCGTGACCCCAAAAGAGGTCAGGGCCAAGCCCCGACCAACTCCGCCCTGCGACCTAGGTCTCTTACCTAAGGCCTGCTCCGGAGACTCACAAACCGTTAGGGGTCCACGACCTCTCCGGGAGAGATCAACAAAGCAAGAGGCCAGGGTGATGCGCAATGTGGAACCCAAAATGCGTGATCATGGCTCGGTCACGTAGAAGAGACAGAAGGTCCAAGACCTACGAGCCAAGACACGATCGCAAAAAAATCCTCATGATCGAGCTAAAGAGAGGTCGGGGAAATGACTCCTTGAAAAATTCCGAAAAGGACACCCTTCCTATTCAGTGACTTCGTGCCAACAGCGCAACCACAACCCTTGGCTCCTCACCATCTCCTCAAATACCTAGCCATTCGGGGAAATCTAAGATAGCACAAGGCCACAGCCATGAATGGTCCAAACGAAAGAAAAACACCTACTTATAGGCCAAAAAGCGAACCAAACGGCTTGGGACCCCCACACCGCATGGCGCACCATGGGAAGCCACAGCCAAAGTCAGATGCCCGTAGGGGGACAAGGAAACCTAGACCTTCCCAAAGGTAGGACTGCAATAGGGTCGACAAGACCACTTGGTCCCGCCTGGGTCACTAACCCTGAAACACGGCACACTAGTATGGCCAGGCTCACCAGTCATGTACCACGTCGTCGGGATGCCCTGACAAGGCCAAACGTAATGGCCACCTACCACATTGAACGCATCGATCCACAAGGGATTGAGCAACGAAGCTCGAATAGGCCACTACGAACCCGCACACGAGTACATACGCATCTCAGCGCTTTCATGATCACTTCGCAATCGTAAAAACGCTCGGGGGATACTATCGGGGTGGTAACCCCGAGGTGTCTCAAGGCACCAATTAGTTAGCAAGCCAAGTGGCCCACAAGACATTAGCTGGTGAAGGCCCGAACAACTGAGGCCAAGCAAACTAGGCCAGACATTAAGGCTGGGGTCGGCCACGACCCCTCCCTCTTGCCTTACTCACACGACGCTCGATGGGCGTATGACCTCTCCACTGTCCCGAACCCTAGGAGGGACGGGGAGAGGTCGAGCCCAGCCAAACACGCCCGCTCTAACAAGAGCAAGCACGCCACACTAACCCCGCAATGACTGAGGGGACAACAGTCACCTTGGCCCGGTCAGACACCATCCCTATGCCATGTTGCACCGATGAGACAACACCGCACGGCGGTGGTAATGGGTACGATACCGACCGTCCAAATACGGACCGAGTAGACGCTTGTACGATCCCACCCACTATGGGATATGATCCACGACAAGGGACTCAATGAAAAGGCCATCTAGACCGGTAGAGTGCCCTGACCCTGATGATCGGGCCATGGCTCTCTATCCCGTAAAGCCACCAGGAGAACGATGACCCGGGGCGGTTACCTACTTCAGGTACGACGCCCCTGGGAACCAGGAGATGATGACGAAGGCCATGACAGACACCACATTGCACAGGACAGCTGATGAACCACCATCAAGGCTACAGTGCCACCACGGCCGGCTTAGTAGCGCCACATCACATCCTGCCACAACGAGGCCAGAAGACGATGACGATAGCCACGACAGAACCTGCACTAGGAGACGGCGTAGCTTGCAAGCCAAGTTAGTTAGGCCCTCCCTCAGGCTCTCGACCCTTTCATCGAGAGAACCTCCTCTTTGTATAAGCCCTGGCCCTAGACTCTATATTAGGGCAGCTAGGGCACCCATCTCGGGGATGATTCACATCCTCTACCATTCCATTCCTTCACCATTGTAGTAGGGGCTCTTGGAGCTTCTCTTTGGGCAGCCCTTCGTCTAGCATAGGTCCTTCCATCTCTTCCACCTTTCTTACACCCCCTATTGTAAGAACTTCAGAGCATTCAAGTGAGGAACACATACTCGATCATCTCTGAGACTGGACATAGGGCTCCGACCTGAACCAGTATAAATCCTCATGTCTACTGGATGCTACCATCATCTTCCTAGAGCAGCGCGACAATCGTATAAATTTACTAGTCTGGTTTACAACAAACCGACAGTTGGCGCACCAGGTAGGGGATAGTTGCGCACTCTCGTCTATTGAGAAGGAAGCAATGGCTCCTCGCATTGCCGGTGAACTCGCTGGTGGAATGGCCCACGATGGCCACATCCGCCGCAAAAACTATGAGTTCACTAGCATCAAAGGGCCAGCACCCGTGACCGCCCGTGGCTACGACCCAAACCTCAGCCATAGAGATCCGGGACATGTAGCCCACAATGGATACACTCTCGGAACTGCCTCTGATGGCAGCATCCTAGAGTTCACCTACCCAGAGGGGCCAGTACCCTCGCTCACTGAGGAAACTCTTTCCTACATTGCTTCTCAGTCATCCTGTCCGCACATCTTCTTCGTGGTTCGTTATCACCGCCTGCATATACATCGTCGTCCCTTGTGCATGGACGACCATTCTGTGACCCTTGCTCATCACCTGTCTTCACTAGGTTTTCATCAAGCTATTTGAGTTCTTTGTTACTAACATTGATCACTACTATCATTGCCTACCTTGCGTCAGGACTGCACGCCTTCGAGCAAGATCATCCACCCGGGTTGCTCATCTGAGCATGCACTGCTTCTTCTACATCCAACACAACCTCGTCCCCAATGTTGTTGTCTCTAGCAAACCCGACGCGTACCTTGTTAGGGCCCTCTCCCTAGTATGTTTGGTATTAGAAACATTGGTGCATACCTTCGTCCCTGACACGTAGCTGAGTCTAGCAAACTTGACACATGCCTTAGCCTTGGTGCCATTACTGCATCGACTTCAACATTCACCCTCCCATCCCATTTGTCTCCATTGCTTCGCCATCTTTGTCTACGTCCTTGACAGCATTGATAGTCGGCATTGTCCCCTTCCATGACGACTGCCTGGACGTGTCTCCATCATCACCATGATGCCTCTTTTGTGTCCATAGCTCCATGTGCTACTGCCTCGACGTTAGCTACCTCAACTGCTATGTTGACTATGATTATCTCTAGTATGACATCCTCGACCACGGCTACTCCGCCCTCATGCTTGGCTATCTCGGGCACAACGGGCTACTGCCTAGCTTGAGTAAATCTTGTCAGCTTCCACTCCAACCACAACGTCCACTACGCATCGAGCATTATGACTACATGGGGAGGTCAGCTAGATGGCTTACAACATTCAGCTTCTTCTCCAGTCTAACCATCTGCGCCGCTCCCGTTGTGACTGCAGGAATGTCAGAGTATATTGGGATATCTCCAGATATGATAGAAGGTAGATTAGGATCGCCTAACCCTTATGTCTAAGGAAGGTTTCTTGCCCCCTAAACAATGCACTCCTATATATCCGGCCACGAGCCTCAACAATATAATCGACAATTCCACACAATATTCCTCCTACAAATACGTCATATGTCATTGAATGGATACAATAACAAAATTCGATCAGCACATTAATTTATGTTTCCATGTTATATTGTTTTTATGCTTTATTTAGTTAAGCCTTTATTTGTGTTTTCAGGATATTGATTTTTTATGTTGTCTCAAAACTGTGTGCATAATATCTGCCAATGGTTTGGCTTGTTTTACAGGTAAAGCTGAAGGTGTCCTCTTTGAAGATGCTGGAGATGGATATGGATTCACACAGGGAGACTATCTTTTGACATATTATATTGCTGAACTCCACTCATCGGTGGTTACTGTCAAAGTCTTCAAATCTGAAGGGTCATGGAAGAGACCAAAACGAAATTTAAAAATAAATATATTGCTTGGTGAAGGTGCTATGGTATATGTCTATTGCCTTTCATTCTTTTTTTCACTCAAGAACCAAACTTATCTGTAACACAAATTTTTTTCATCCAGATAAGCACAGATGGTGTTGATGGTGAAGAAATACACCTTACAATGCCTTCTGAATCTGAAGTGTCCAGCTTAGTTGCAACTAGCAAACTTGAGCACAACGAACGAATGGGTAATTGTCCTACCACTTGTTTATGTTTATGCTGTTTTAGACATAGAAGCAAAGATTTGTCATTTCCATAGTTTTTAAACACGTTACAAAAGAGATACCACAGCTTTAATTGTCTGAGCTTGTCTCATACTGCCACATTACGACGGTTGTACAGAGATGATTCAGCCTATACCTGATATTGATGAGCCATAAGGGCAGGAAGGTGCTGAGCTATCAAAAATACCTGTTGATTTGAAGAGTAGAGACTGGTCCCTTAAGATTGTTCCATGGATTGGAGGCCGTATTATCTCGATGACCCATCTTCCTTCTGGTATGTTTCACAATCACCTGTGCAAATTGTAATATATTCTAATAATTTTTTTATCTTAGCAATAGAGACATACTTCATTTTTCTGATACGTACTTTTCCTGACATACTTTAAAATCCATCTATGTTCTCTGCGAGGGTTTTGTACTTGTACATCGTTTCGTCATGCAAATGCATTATGAATAGATCATGTTAATTTATTATTAGTTTTGAGTATCACTTGTTAATTATTGTCTAGCATAGCTTGGGTACAATTTATCATTAATATTTGCAGATTCCCAGTGGCTTCACAGCAGGATTGAGATAAATGGTTATGAAGAATACAGTGGGACTGAAATTATGTCTGCTGGCTGCACAGAAGAATACAAAGTCATCAGGTAACTGAAATAGTCATTTCAGACTAATTGCTTGTGTGGCTATTTGTTGCCTGTTACATTGCATATTTCTTGTCTAGTTCCAGTTTTGTCCACTAAGTAACTTTAAGTTCAAAATAACTATAGGAGGTATCTTGAACAGTCTGGAGAGGATGAATCTATTTGTATGGAAGGAGACATTGGTGGTGGTCTGGTTCTCCAACGCCAGATATCTATTTTGAAGGACAACCCAAAGATTGTTCAGATCGACTCTAGCATTCAGGCAAGAAGTGTAGGAGTTGGTTCTGGTGGGTTTTCAAGGTGAGGGCGCTACTTCCTCTCAGTCTCTGCCTCTTCCTATGCTCCTTACTGTTGTTTATGGACTTGAGGAATTACAGAACAAAGATGACACCAGAAACAGAACATTAAGCATGAGTAGTTTTTTTTTCAAACAGTTCAATTGATTCTTTCAAGAATATATTTTGAAACACTGAATTCTGTTTTTACTGTGAAGGTTGGTCTGTTTACGAGTTCATCCTACATTCACCCTGCTACACCCAACTGAGGTAGTGGTTGCTTTCATGGCCATCAATGGTTCAAAGGAAGAGATCTCCCCGGAGGCAGGAGAAATAACATTCGAGGGAGACCTCAGACCCAACGGTAAGTTACCCTGTGCTGCACAATTTGACGACCCTTACCTTTGCCCATCTCTGTTAACTCACTTTTGGCAAATTCTCAGGTGAATGGATGCTAGTGGACAAGTGTGTCAGGCTGAGCTTGGTGAATCGGTTTAATCGCAGGGAGGTCAGCAAATGCTTTGTGCACTGGGGAACTGGTGGTGTGAACATGGAGCTCTGGTCAGAGGAAAGACCAGTGTCTAACGAGACGCCGTTGAGGATTTGCCACCAGTATGAGGTGCGGCAAACAAGCTAAACACTGCCCGGACAGCAGAAATTAAAATACCAATTTGGAGGATGCTTCTTGCTTCAGTTCAGATTTGCACGCGTTATAGTCTTTGTGTAACGGTCGCGCACCAAAACATCTTTCATGGTATTTTTGAGTCGTGTCAGTCACCCTACGTTGGGTCTGCTAAAACATGGTTTCTCTACAATCACTGCATCATACTGTTCACGACTGGCATAAATAAATCTGTGGTACTCACTGCCTACCACGAACCGACCTTAGACACTTAATATTTCTCTCCAGTTAATTCTCAACTTTAGCCTTGGGGCTTGGCTCCAACAAGATAGTGTTGGCTTCCTGTAATTTTCTCTAATCTTCTTCAGAGATATTTCCTTCGGGCATGTCAACACTAACCACTTTCATGCCCTAAAATCAGAGCATGGCCTTGACTAGCCACCTCTTAAAATGCACATCGGAAAAAAAAATTCGGCCTCGGCGCGTCAGCAAAACCAGTCATAATTAATTCAGGAAAAGGCCTACAATAATGTTTTTGGATTGTTGAAAAGGTAGGCAATTTGGAAATCAAAACCAGAACATAGATCATGACAATCTTAGATACTAGCATTTGAAGCCCTAGCATACTAGTTAGATTGGTCAGCATGAACAACGACATGATGAGCAACAACGTGATCATCAAAACAGTAGGCATACGACAATAACAGATTGGATCGCGGTGCATACTCCTTTCGTCTGCAGAGGGAGACGCCATTGCTTGTGGTGGTACGAAGTTATTGATGAGTGGTGGAGGAAGAGCTCGGAGCAGCTGTGAAAGGACCGAGGATGTCGCCTAGAGGAGGAGGTGAATAGTCGTTTCTAAAAAGGAACACCTTCAAATGAGGAAACAATTAGTATGAAGTTTCCAATGAATCGGAAATTCCAAATCAGAGAATTAAATCCCTCAAGAGTTAACCACAAAGTATATAAATGATCTAGAATATGTCTAGGAGCTAAAACCCTACACCACAAAGGTTAGAACAGAGAAAGAATAAATTCAGCACAGGAGGGTAATACCGGACACGTCCGGTATTCTCGGGTGCTGCGGTCCAACTGCCAACTTGCTCTCTTTTGATTTCTTCTTTCACTCCAAGTTGCAGGCACCTACTAGTAACCTGATCACAAGCTCAAGCAACACAAATAGATCACAAATATCAAAGGAATGTGAATTGAGACACGGTATTTGTTTTACCGAAGTTCGGACTCCGTCGAGTCATACTCTCCGTTGAGGGGGCTGCGAGCGACCCAATGAAGGTCAGCTTTAGAGGACCCACGAAGGTCAACTCTAGCCAGAGTCTTTTCCAACTCCTTTTCCTCCTTTCACTAGATGATTCCTTCCCTTGCGGCGGTGGAATCGACCGTTACAAACTTTCCGAGGCACACCACAATCTCTTGGGTGCTCTCCGGTGACGCCTAGCCGTTTAGGACCGAAGAGTCCCAGAGTAACAAATGCAAATCACGAGATAGACAATAATGCACAAGTGCTCAAGGGTGGCTTGCTCTCAATTTTGAATCTCACTCAACCCACAAGATGAATTTTGTAAATTTAATCAATTACTCACTAAGAGAGGGTTGGAGAGTGTTCCCAAGGCTCAAAAACGTGTGGGAGTATTGGCAGAATTAGCAGCCTCCAAAGGTGGAGGCTTGGGAGTTTTTATAGACCCCACTTAAGTTAGTAAGTTTAGAAGTGCGCGTGAGACGTCAGAACTCCCGACGCTTGCTAGGACTTCTGACTCCCGAAACTCTCGACTCTTGTCGGAACTTCCGATGAACCAACGGGAGAGCACCGAAGAAGTTTGCTGTGGCCAACCCTATACTGGACACGTCCGGTATTTTCACCCACAACAGCTTAAGTTAGCACTAGTGACTCTCTCACTCAAACCTCTCATGGGTTGGCTTGAGCACCTATGAATAATTATCTATCAGCATAATGCATCCCTCTTAATAGTGCGACATACCTATTAACTCAAGATCAAATGAAAAACGAGTTCGAATCGCTTGAGTTGATTTCCTTCAAACCAAATGCCATAGCTCTCAATCTTCATTAAGTGAGGATGTCGATCATGTCAACTTTGATTTTTCTCCTTGAGCATGTGACTTGATTTCATTCAATAGATGAGAATTAACTTCAAATATATCAAGTCACTTCCAATAATTTCTTCACTATATTTTGATCCTCCACTTCAATGTGACCATTAAAGTTTGATTGGTACCTCAACTAAATGCAAGTACTTTCTTCTTCACCCTAGCTTGGTTCCTCGGTCGCCAAGCCATCTCTTGCCCTTTACCCTTGCTTAGTACCTCGAAGCCTTTCCTTGCTATTTTCACCAACTCAAGCCATCAAGTCACACCTTGTGTTAAATCATCCATCATTTCATTTGTATAGTTGTCTTTTATTGTAGCAAGCTTCAAACGTGATACCATTCCATAAGCAATATCTCATGTCTCATTGATTAGTGCTCAACATACTTGCTTTATAATGAATCATAGAAATCCCACAATAAGTAAGCCTTGCATGAAATACATTTGCATTGTTGTCTTGTATTTGAACTAGATTGTTGATACAACAACACATCATTTTGGCTTTATACAATCAAATCAAGCACATGTGAGATAAACCAATTTTCCTGTCCAACACTTAGCAAATAGGTTAGACCTTTAATCACGTTGTCATTTAATCATCCAAATCCAAAACCCAATAAAGGGCTAGATGCACTTTCAAGCTGACTACGAACGCGATGAGACGTAGCGCCGCCTGACCTAGATGGGGTGGTACGAAGTCATCGATGGTTCCGGAGACCTGCTATTCCATTTCGGTGGACTATTCACGCAGGTGTTGCACGTGCCCTTCGCCTCGCCCCACCCTTCCTAGTGAGGCGAGCGAGCTCTTATGAGTTTACTTTGTCCTCCTCACACTAGACTTGAGGAAGTAGAAATGACTTCCATACTAATTATGGCTACCTACACTTCCACAAGCAAGGCGGAACTAAAGGTTTTTCACTTCCTCTCTTTGCTCACATGAATACGCCTTTAAGATTTTCCTGAAATTTTCAGAATCTCTTATTGGGCCAAGCCCATATATTTCATTCCAACAGGAATCCAGAACGAGGAGGGTTACATTGTGTACGGAAGTGGTTCGGAAAAGGATGCATGTCTGGGTTCAAAAGGCAGATGCATATGACTGCCCATTTATTGGCATGTTTTTGCAAACTTCAAATTTTTTTCTTTCGTTCTTTAATTTCTTGAACTTACTGTGGCCACACCTTTGGGGCTTGGAGGAAGCAAAACGAGCCAGCAGGGGCACAAGTTCCACCTCGTCAGTTCATCACCCTTCCCTAGATTGAGCCACCCAGCTAGAGGAAACCTCCCTGCGATGCTGCCCAGCCAGGGCCACCACTACCCACATGCACTTTAATGTACAGTGTTACTCATCAGACGCCCCAGAACTCGCCGACAACGTGAATACTTGGAAAGCGAGGTGATGCTAGAGCGCACTGCTCACAGATCGATCGAGCTGCCTGCGAAAGCGGAGATGACGATAACGATGATGAAGAAGAAGAGAAGAGCAGCAGCTGGACGCATCCGTCGTCCATGGATGGACTTGGAGCAGTGCCGGAGGAGAGAGGCGGCGGCTTTGCATTCACGGTTTTGCATGGGCCCGGCCGGGGGATTTGGGGGCCCGTGAGTGAATCCGCGCGCGAGCGAGCGCGAGAGAGAGATAGCATGAGGTGCAGAAGCGGCCAATGAGGACCCTATCTGAATCTCCACCAATCCACCCTTATCAGCCTCAGCCCTCAGCCCCCCTCGCTCGCTATCATTCTACTTCCCTCCGCTCCTCTGCCTTGCCACTTCTTCCCTTCTTCCTTTCCACCGCCTCTGCTCTGCTCACCTCCCAGCTGGGCTCCCCCCCTCGCTCCCTGCAGCTCTATCCTTTCGCTCTCTTTCTTCCGTTCCCTCTATTACCTTCTCTCTCTCTAGCTTATCCCGATAAAGGCGATAATGGCAACCTCCAGCAGCACCGTCTAGCTGTGCCCGCTCTACACAACACAACACGTCCGCTGTTCGGTGTCGGTGCTCTCTCCTGCAACTACACTTTGCGCAGCCTTAAGCGAGGTCGTCCAGATAACACACACAGGGTTCTGAGGAGCAGCAGCAGCAGCTGGGCGCCAGCCCACTGGTAAATTCTTGGACCTCCTCTTGTTTCTTTGCCGTCTCATGCATCCATGCTCATGCTCGGCACGCATTTGGCTCTCCTCTGTGTTGCTTCTTTGCTATCTATGATGACTGTGAGCACTGAAACATGGAGCACTGCTCTGCTGCTTCTCTCTCAGCGAATTGCTTGTTGCGATCTGATGCTGTGTGGTGTGTCCTGTCATGCCTGCCTGCCATTCAGAACTCTTGTTTTCTAATAGGTAGCAAGTGTGTATGTATGTCTTGAACGTTTCAGTACTACCGTTGTTGCATACTAAGCTAGCTACTGCTTGTGTGAGAACGGTGAATTATGAGCACCTCTGCTAGCGATGCCTAGCGTAGGCGTAAAATTATCACGAGGAGGCCCAACCCGAACCCGAACCCATCCCTGTTCTGTTCGTCGCAATATATGTTTCTGCTCGGCAGGCGCTATCACTTGGTGTGAAATTTGGTACCAGAAAAACGAAGGCAAACAGAGCTAGTTTTCTCTTGGTCCACAGGCTGCGCTGCTCCATGAAAACCTTATCCCTTCATTTTCTAGTTGGCAATTGGCATTAACACAACTAACTTTCTGAATTACTTCTTCCAGCTCCAGTTTACATACATATATACTTTTGTGCAGCACAAGCTAAGTCAGTCATCTCTCATCCGGTGGTGGTAGGGGCCGGGGGTCAGAGTCCCAAAACTGTTGCTTACTCTTCTTTCTTACACCATTTATCGGTATTTTTTCTGGTCAGTATTCGTGGCGTGGGCCGGGCAGATACATGTACACACGACCAGTGTTT